TGTCACTGTGTCAGTTGACTTCCTCATATTTAAAACCTCCCCCCACCTTTTCCCTCCCTCCACCTTTTCCCTCCCTCCCCTAAAAACAGATCTAATCCTGTTGCCACCATCCCCTCCGGGTTGGCCAAGCGATCTAATTCTTTAGTGACCTCGAGCTTTAGCATAGCCAGCTGCCAACCCCTCCCAACAGCTGCCAACCTTACCTGTTGAGCCCGTGTCAACACCGTGTGTCCTCCATCAACCGCCCTCCATCAACCGGCATCAAAATAGGTACTAAACTTCCTAGTTGGGGTACATTCAAAAAAACAGTCGTCTCGATCTCCTCTTGCGTCGTCTTCGGTCTCCTCTTGCGTCGTCTTCGGTCACGTTAATCTTTACGAGGCTCCTCAATAGACTCCGCTTCCTTAACCATGTCCTTGATAGCAGCAACCGCTACCCCCAAAGCCTTCTGCTCTTGCTCATTAAGAGGCACATCAAAGCTCTGATCAACGCCATTAGAGCCCACAGTGCAAGGCCACGAGATATAAGCTTGATGAGCCTCGACCCAATGGACAAGAGGATACACTTCCTGAGTGTTGTTCAACACACTCTCAGCAATGGTAGCAGAACACATGCCGATACCAAAGTAGGTAGATCGTTTGGCCTCAATAATGGCGTAAGCCTTTCTCATGACTTCCTGGCGGATGCTGTCAAGTTCAATGCCCTTCAACTTCGGGTGATCTAACAGAGGGGTGTTCTGGATTCTGGCTGCGGACCAGGCGACGAATTGACGGTCGCCGTGTTCGCCAAGGACGTATGCATTTATGCTCTGAGGATGCACATCAATCATTGAAGCGATCTGCGAGCGGAGGCGACCAGAGTCGAGGTAGGTCCCGGAGCCAAACACCTGATTCTTAGGCAGCTTTGAAGACTGCCAGACAATGTGAGTCAGGACATCTACCGGGTTGGCAACAACAAGAATCTTCATGTCAGGACGAATAGGTTGCATTTGCGTGCATATGTCATTCATGATGGACTTGTTGGTTCCAAGGAGCTTCGACCTCGGCTCACCCGGCTTCTGGGGGTAGCCTGCGGTGATGATCACTAAGTCAGACTGGCCCGCTTCAGCGTACGAACCAACTCGGACGACTCCGGGGGAGTTGAAAGAGGCGTCGGCGATGTCAAGAGCCTGTCCCTCCGCGGCCTTCGGAGCAACATCAACAATCAAAAGTTCAGCAGCAACGCCCTTAAGGATCAAGGCATTCACAGTAGCTGCCCCAACCATGCCACCACCACCGATCACCGAGATCCGTTTGTTAGGGACGCGGGGAGCCATTTGTAAAGTACTAGGAAAATACGTTAGTGTAATGTGGAGAAAGTTTCGGGGTGAGGCTGCCGTTGCCGTCTCCTGTCTTCCGCGTCCCCTGGCAGCCCGCCCTCATCGCGGCGTCAGGTGGGGCCTGATCCGTGAGGTGGGTCCTGTCGCACACCACCGCTAG